CAGGCGGTTCTTGAACCCGCGGGCTCAGGCAATCCACTCACCTCAGCCTCCCAAAGGCGCGGAATTACAGGCTGAGCCACCAAGCCCGGCTGACATTTTCAACCTGTGTTTTCTAGATGCACATTTACCTCCAGCTGGCTTGGAGGGAATGCTGGGTGCTCTCAAGGAAATGCACAATCACTATCCCTAAACCACTCGAAAGCCCATGTGTGTGTGTGTGTGTTTTGGTTTTTTTTTTTTTTTGAGTTGGAGTCTCACTCTGTTGCCCAGACTAGAGTGCAGTGGCACGCTCACGGCCACCATCGCCTTGACCTACTGGGTTCAGGTGATCTTTTCACCTCAGTCTTCCAAGTAGCTGGAACTACAGGCATGCACCATCATGCCTGGCTAATTCTTTGATTTATTGTAGAGATGAGGTCTCGTCAAATTGCCCAGGTTGGTCTCGAACCCATGGGCTCAGGCAATCCTTTCATCTCGGCCTCCCAAAGTGCTGGGATTACAGGCATGAGCCACTGCACCTGGCCTGTGTGTTTTTAACAAGAGTTTTTTTTTTTTTGAGTCAGAGTCTCACTCTGTCGCCCAGGCTGGAGTGCAGTGGCACGCTCATGGCCACCACAGCCTCAATCTGCTGGGCTCAGGTGATCCTTCTACCTCAGCTGTCCAAGTAGCTGGAACTACAGGTGTGCGCCACCGCACCTGGCTAATTTTTTGATTTATTGTAGAGATGAGGTCTCGCCAAGTTGCCCAGGCTGGTCTCGAACTCCTGGACTCAGGCAACTTTCTTGCCTCCGCCTCCCAAAGTGCTGGGATTACAGGCATGAGACAACATGCCTGGCTAACAGGTATTTTTTAAAGGGACAAAACTCTGTAAAACCCTGAGAATGATCACTGACTCAGAGGGATCTTAAAAACAAAACAAACCCAAACTCCCAAATGAAGGCACCACTAATATACTGAAGTTTTCATTACCACAGTGCTCAGTGTTTCAGCATCAACAGTGAACAGTCTTTTAATGTGTTAACATAACTGTCCCCTTTAATATGGAAGAAAAACAAACAATGAGACCCTTGAGGCAAATTCTACAACAGGATGTTATGCTCCTTGCAATCTCCCTTCATCCTTGAGTTCATCCTCTATCCCAATTTTGTCCAAGTTTTAAGAGTTCAGAGGCGTTCAGATTTCCTGAATGTTCAGAGACTTTACTGAAGAGAGCTAGAATCTGACTGCAATTATAAAGTAGTTTCAAACATTATGTACAGCAGCTAGTATGCTAAACATTGTGAAAAAGACAGGCACTGCCTTGAGTACAGAACAGAAACTGCTGCCTAATACTTCACCTGCTACTGTTCAGATGTAATCTCACCAATAGCCTATAAAATACAAGCTCACCTAATAAGATGATTCGGCTATATTAGAAATTAGATCCATTCCAATTTTAAGTAGGATTCTAGAAATGACTCTCAGTTAAGGATAACAAACATAACAGGTAATCTAGACAGATACCTACCCCTGAAAAGTCAGCTCCAGGTCCTCTGTTGCTGTGTGCCTTTTAAATGCATAAGCTGGGCTCAGGATAGCAGTCTAGGGAACCTACATGATCTTTAAACTGAATGTTCTGACCAGATTCACATTATTAAGATTTGCACCTTCCAAGTACAGGGAGCAAATGCTTAGGTGGACTGTGACTACCAATGAAGGGAGAATTTAGGATTTCAGATCAATGCAGAGATCTAAGTGACCAGGTACCCCCCAAATCAGAAAAGGCACAACTATTTTCCTTAACAGCAGCTACTGAAAAGGGTCAGCAACTCACAATGGCAACACTTTTGTTGGGCTGAGACATGGAAAATGGGCAGGCGGGGGGTCTTGTGTCTTTTAGGAAAAAAAAGTTCTATTCTAAGAACAAGCTAGGACTGTATTAGTAAAAGTGCTTCAGCATTTAAGGTAAGAGGCACAGGGCACCAGGTGGGAGAATGGATGAATGACCAGGAGAAAACATGCTGGTCTTCACCTTTGTGAGCAACTGTAAACGTTTACTAACATGAGGGGCTGCTCATCTGGACACATGAGGTTTCATCTACCTTACTGGTTAGCTCTTTAATGGAGGGGGTAGGGGGGAGCACATATGTAAATAATTCTGAAAGAGAAACAAACCTCCTTGCCCAAGCGCAGGAATGAGGTGGAAAATCACTGGAATGCACTCTTTCAGCTAGAGGGGAAAGATCCCGTAATAAAGCATACAGAGAGTTAACATTAAAGTACAATAAAATGCCACAAAACCCAGAAGCTGGATAGACAGACAGACAAAACTGGGTTCTTCTGAATGTGCCCCAAGAGAAAGTAGTGTTTCAACAGTTCTTTTAACGCTGAGGTTTAGCTGAAGGATGTCGGAAGGGGAACAAAGATTGTCCTGTCCAAAGTGTAAGCAGGAAAGGAAAACAGAAAAACACAGTCAGTGGATCAGAAATGCAGATGAGTACAGAATTCAATATGATCATCTCAATCATATTCAGAGATACATAGCCCACATTTTTACTATGAGGAATGAAAATAAAGTGCTGAAAACCAAAACTACAAAGCATCTTCTATGTGCTGAACTTGATTTTACCACTCAACAGCAGGATACAACTTGCTTGACGGTGACTGGTATGAACACTGAAGACAAAAGAAACATAACTGAATACTAGCTTAGGGCTGTGTGAGGCCTGGAAGCCAGGAGGTCTGTATCAAGCGGCCTCTTTCCCAACATTCATCCTTCCTTGTTCATGGACAAAGAGTAGATAAAAAAGCAAGGTAAATACTAGGGCTGGCTGAGGAGAGGGATGTTTTCAGACTCAGTCAGTAATCCAAGACGGTTCTTAGAATGAAGAAAGCTTGATAACCAGAGGAAATTTACTACCTCCAAGCCAAATGTACCAAATGATTTGGGTTCCTCTCCAAACCAGGTCAAGTCTAAATCAACCAAACCCAGTTCACTGTTATGCACAGATGAATGCAGAGCTGTAAGAGGCCTTACAGAGCATCCAAACCTCAACTTCACAGATCAATAAACTATTAAATAAAGGCATTATTGGACTTGACAACAGGAAATATTCTTTAACACATAATAACCCTGGGCCATAAGATATTGGACTCATATATACATTTTTAATCTCCCATTATACATTTTAAAAAAATGTAACACATTTAACAGCTTCATAATGAAGTAAATATCCTATGCCTAACCTCATCAGACATTTGTATAAGTTGCCTTATTCTTTAGTATTTCATTCACATTTTAACTTTAATAACACTTTAAAAGTTACATTGAGAAGGGAAATTATTTACTTTTATACATATCCAGGTATAGAATCTGATAAATATTGACAATATTAAGTTTTCTGTTTTAATTTTTAAAAGTGATCAATATTACATTCCCAATTTTCTTTGGAAGTCAAACACAGCAAGTGTTTAAAGGCCAGAATGACCAGAAGTCGGGACGAACAAAGGAAGAAGAAGCAGGGTTTCTTCTTTCTGCCTTTGGCAGAGGGACCTGAGAATGCTAGTTTTATGAGTTTGTGTATTTTTTTTGTTTTGAGTTGGAGTCTCACTCTGTCATCCAGGCTGGAGTGCAGTGGCATGCTCATAGCCACCCCAGCGTCAACCCACTGGGCTCAGGCAATCCTTCTGCCTCAGCCTTCCAAGTATGCGGAACTACAGGCTCATGCTACCACACCCGGCTAATTTTTAAATTTATTGTAGAGATGAAGTCTCGCCAAATTGCTCAGGCTGCTCTGGAACCCGTGGGCTCAGGCAAACCCTCACCACGGCCTCCCAAAGTGCTGGGGTTACAGGTTTGAGCCGCGGCGCCTGACTGAGTTTGTGTATTTATCCATTTTCCTTCACTTTGTTCCAGGCAAGTAACTGATTTTTCTGCAGAAGTAGCAGCATACTAGGAAACCATCTAAAATTGGTGGCGATGGTTGTGGTAGAGATGTGGGTGGAGGCAGAAGGGGAGATGGAAGAGGTGGCCTATGTGGAATGTCCATTTCCTCTTTGTGGCAGAGGAAAGGGAGGGGGAGCAAGGATGTGTCAAGAACCCCAGTCTAACCACTCTGGGAAAAGATCTAGTCTTTTTTGTTTTTTTTTTTTATCGAGTTGGAGTCTCACTCTGTCGCCCAGACTGGAGTGCAGTGGCCGCTCCCGGCCACCACAGCCTCGACCTGCTGGGCTCTGGCGATCCTTCCGCCTCAGTCTTCCAAGTAGCCGGAATTACAGGCATGCGCTACCACGCCCGGCTAATTTTTGACTTATTGTGGAGATGAGGTCTTGCCAAGTTGCCCAGGCGGGTCTTGAACCCGTGGGGCTCAGGCAATCCACTCACCTCAGCCTCTCAAAGGCATAGGATTACAGGCTGAGCCACCCAGCCCGGCTAAGATCCAGTCTTTTAAAACTGTATTTTTTCTACCTCTGAACCTGCCTTCAATCAGCACAGCTCTGGTAGGAACAGGGTGGGCCTATAATATCCACTGTTAACCCCTGTGTGGCAAATGCTGACTTCAACATGTTTTAAGGCACAGTTTTTGTATTTTGCTGACAGCAGGAACATTCTGAAAGAATTCCAGTACAGGCACTTTAAATCTGAGAAAGAGGATAATTCTGCAAGTCCAGTGGACAGGTACAATGACTATAACAGCTGGTAAACAGTATTTCTGATAGGTTTTGACACGGGCCAAGTCAGCATGTCTTGCTTGTGTGGGACTGTTTCTAGCACTCTTCTCTCTGCGTGCCTCTTTTTAAAGTTTGATTTTTATTATTTTTGTTTTTTAAATTGGGCAACACTTCATCCATAAGATAGAATGAGTGTTCTCCCATGCCTCTTTTTGATCCTTCACTCAACTTTTCTGTGATTCCCATTCTCTGCACCAACCCAGGCCACACTCTCTGTTCCCAGGCATTGTTTATGGAACTAGAGCAAGTACCAGGCATGTCTGCAACTAAGGAACAACTTCAGTACACAGAAGAGAAGGACCGACTGCTAATGTGCATGGGTGACTATTAGAACATGCTTACTAATATGGAGAAAACGCATGTTATTTCTTTAGAAACCATACTAAATGCTCTCTTAAAATGCTTAAAAAGGGTTTGTTCTAAAAGATGATGAGCTTTTATAAAACAATGACATGAAAAACTTGCTTTGAATTTGCTCACAGAAATAAAAGGTCTTTGCTAACTACTACTTTCAGTTCATTTATAACTCAGGTAAGAAAAAGAAAAACTAGCAAAGTAAAAAAGTTAAGTAGCAGAATAACGATCTACTTAATAAAAGGAGAGAAACAATCATGGGAATTCATGCAGATGAATACAGATGCTCTAGGGAGATGGGCTCTTTCTCTTCCACCTTGTAACATGTGAAAGGCTGCTCACTCGGCAAGTGAGGCTGTGGCCTTTTCCATTCCTGGTCAGTTGGAAAGAGGTTTGGTGAACCAGGTAAAGAGCATCACTGTCCTGACAGCTACAGGAACAAGGGCTTGACTTTGAGAGAAACAGTGGATTGTTGATGAGCATGGGCCAATCCTGAGTGACTGAGGGTTCATTAAGAAGGTGATGGAAGAGGGTCATGTTTTTGTTGTTGCAGACTGGACAGAACATGATAACAAGAATTGTAACGGTTGTGGTTAATGAAAAAAGTATCACATGGTACCAAGTTGTTTAGTTCTTTAAATTTTTATACACCATGTCATTAAATATACTACTTCTTAACAGTACAATGCTTAATTGGCATAATACAATTGTTTTTTAGGAAAAGTCACTGAATAAGAGGTATATATCAAGTTCATTTCCCTTAATCACATCTATAAATAAGGTGTAATGATTTATAATATTAAAGGCTGATCACATTATAACTGAGGGACCTGAAGGCAAATAAATCCTAGCAGCAGGACAAGAGTTTAGAAATGTTCTCCTGTATGCGAAACTCTAAAGAATTATAGCTTAGTGGAAAAGCTGGTCAACTCTGAATAAAGCCTGCCATTTAGTTAAGAGTATTGTGCTAGTGTTACTTAGCTTGGATAACTGTACTATGTTTATATTAGGTGTTTGCATTAGGGGAAGTTGAGTGAAGTACACACAGGAATGCTCTGTGCTAATTTTAAAATTTATTATTATTATTTTTTAGAGACAGGGTCTTGCTGTGTTACCTAGGCTAGTCTTAAATCCTGGCCTCAAGTGATCCTCCCGCTTCAGCTTCCCAAAGACTGGGATTGAAGGAGTGTGCCACCATGACCAGCCTCAACTTAATAATTTCTATTGTCATCTGTTAAGTACATTAATCTTAAGGGTGCAGCCTAATTCATTTTTTCTTCCTTCCTCCCTTTCTTTCTTTTTTAAAGAGACAGGGTCTCACTCTGTCGCCCAGGCTGGGAGTCCAGTGATGTGATCACAATTCACCGCAACCTCAAACTCCTGAGCTCAAGTAATCCTCCTGCCTCAGCCTCCTGAGTAGCTGAGCCTATAGGCGTGAGTCACTGTGCCTGGCTAATTTTAAAAAACTTTTTGTAGAGATGGGGTCTCCCTAAGTTGCTCATATTGGTCTTGAACTCCTGGCCTCAAGTGATCCTTTCATCTTGGCTTCCCAAAGTGCTGAGATTATAGGTATGAGCTACCGCTTCTGGCCTTTCTGTGCTATTTTTGAAATATTTCTGTAAGTCTAAAGTCACTGGTAGGCTGCCAATAATTATTAACATTAATAAACCAAAAAATTAGCCAGGTGTGGTAAGTGCGCACCTGTAGTTCCAGCTACTTGGAAGGCTAAGGTGGAAGGATCGCCTGCGCCCAGCAGGTCGAGGCTGCAGTGGCCATGAGTGTGTCACTGCACTCTACCCTGGGCAACAGAGTGAGACTCCAACTCAAAAAATAAAAAAATTACTTCAAAATTAAAAAATTTTTTTGAGTCAGGGTCCCACTCTTGTCGCCCAGACTGGAGTACAGTGAAACAATCATGACTCACTGACGTCTTTGAACTACTGGGCTGAAGGAATATACTTTCCTCAGCCTACCAAGGAGCTGGGACTACAGGCACACACCACCATGCCCAGCTAATTTTTTTTTTATTTTTCTATCTTTTGTAGAGACAAGGTCTCACCATGTTGCCCAGGCTGGTCTAGAACTCCTCGGTTCAAGTGATCCTTTTGTCTTGGCTCCCCAAGTGCTGGGATTACAGGTGTTAGCCACCATGCCCAGACCAAAATTAACACATTTTAAAAAGTATTAAAGCAAATGCACTCTCAATTTAAGGTGTACTTATTTTGAAGGATAGATTTGGTTGCCTATATAGTTAGATACAAGTCAAACAGCAAAGGGGAAGTTTAGGAAAATAATTATTTTAGATTAATGTCTTATCATAATATAATTATTTAAATTTAAACTTAGATGTTCATTATTTCTTTGTATTGTCCTTGGGAATAGTTAAGGAAAACTGTTCAAAAGCAATATATTGACTGACTCTTATTAAAAAATCAAATCATGTTAGTAATGATCAGGTTAGTCCAGAGCTATTCCTATAAGATTTTGGAGATTTGCATTTCTGAAATTTTAAGACAATATGAAAGTATAGTTAGGTAACAAAAATTAATTTTACTACCTGAGGTACACCAATTTTTCTGCAAGCTTCTAAGAAATTCTCCACATTTCGTCTGCATTTTGCCATTGTTAATTTAGGCTGCAATAAGAAAAGGAAATAAGAAAAATATAGTGTTACTAGCAAAGTTTTTAAAAAATTTGCTAACTTTAAAATCACTCCTGCCAATTGCTTCATATACTCACAATGCTGTAGGCTAGGGGGTTAGTACACTTTTTTTTTTCTTTTTTAGTTGGAGTCTCACTCTGTCACCTAGTCTGGAGGGTAGTGGCACACTCACGGCCACCGCAGCCTTGACCAGCTGGGCTCAGGCAATCCTTCTGCCTCAGCCTTCCAAGTAGTTGGAACTCTAGGCATGCGCCACCATGCCCGGCTAATTTTTTTATTTATTGTAGAGACTAGAGCTCGCCAAATTGCCCAGAATGGTCTCGAACCTGAGGGCTCCAGCAATCCTCTCACCTCAGCCTCTCAAAGTCCTGGGATTATAGGCGTGAGCCACTGCGCCTGACCACTTTTTCTTAAGGACCTGATAACAAGGACCATAAGGACGATAAGGACCTGTTGCAACTACTCAATTCTGCTAGGAGCGTGAAAGCATACACAGACAATATGCAGACAAGTGTGACTGTGCTCCAATACAGAAAGAGAAAACAGGTGCTGGCCCTGGGTGGTAGTTTGTCAGGTCCCATGTTAGACTTGGTTTTGATCTTGTAAAGAAAGTGCTAAGTACAAAAATCTGGAGAGGAATAGTTTTTACATGTTTTCCCCATCTTAAAACACTATACACTAAAGAAAATTTGCAGGAATAGCAAAAACAGTTAATTACCCACAGCTCATCAATGAACTATAACCACAACACTTGGCTTACTCCCTTTCAGCCTTTCTTAAAGAAGATAACTTAAAATAAACGGGCCTTTCTTCATGAATATACTGTGAGAGGGGACCCCTTCCAAAATAACTGGATGAATCACATTTCCACCAAATGGCAACATTTAAATTCTTAAAAACATTTGAGTTTTAAAATATTGGGTTAAAAAATTTATTTTCCAAAGGGTGAAAATTTCCCACATGAAATGCCCCCAATTCCTAACTAATAAACTTGTTTTTTCTGTAAACATCTCTAATGATTAGAAATAGAGCTGCATCACATGATCTAAAGTTTCAATAAAGTTTTTCATCTTGTGGGTTATCATAGAATATAATGTAAGAAAAAAATGCTGCCAGGCGTGGTGGTTCATGCCTGTAATCCCAGCATTTTGGGAGGCCGAGGTGAGAGGATTGCCTGAGCCCAAGGGTTCAAGACCAGACTGGGCAACTTGGTGAGACCTCACCTCTACAGTAAATCAAAAAATTAGCCGGGCATGGTGGCACACACCTGTAGTTCCAGCTACTTGAAAGGCTGCAGTGGAAGGATTGCCTGAGCCTAGCAGTTTGAGGCTGTCATGGTTGTGTGCGTGCCACTACACTCCAGCCTGGGTAACAGAGTGAGACTCTGACAAAAAAAAAAAAAAAAAAAAGAAAGAAGGAAGGAAGGAAGGAAGGAAGGAAGGAAGGAAGGAAGGAAGGAAGGAAGGAAAGAATTATTAATCCCATTTTCCAGATAGATTAACAAAGTCAACTGTACAGTTATTGGTTGGTTTTCAATATGTTCAAGCAGAAAGCATGAAAGCCAAACATTGGCAGGGAGTCTGACCTAGAGTTTTTACAATGATAAGCAGATAGAAGAAGCCTACATCATTCCTAGGGAAAAAAAGTTTCACTTGTAAATACTTGAGTTTCCTACAAAGAAGTAACAGAATCCTCTGTCACAAGAAGAGAGGAAACAAGATACATGAATGATAGTGGTTGAAAGAATTGTCATTTGGGCTCAAAAGAGACTCGGCTAGGACGGGCTCTGTCACAGAAGATAAAGACAACAAGCGGGATGGAAGGAAAGTAAGGATCATTTTCAAACTTCAAATGTAAAAACATCCAAAAAGGTCCACCACGATTTCTGTTCTCTCAATCATCACCTCTAGGACTAAAACCAAGTCTTTCAAGTCTGGGAGTACAGCTGACTTTGTTAGTGCTATTACTCCTCTCTGCCTTTTCTAGAAAACTGGATGCCTGTTTTCTGAGGTCACTGAATATAAACAGGCTACCTATTTGCCATCAAAACAAATGCATGATTCTGGTTTTGGATGTGCAAGATGGGAAAGGGCCATATAAGACCCTTGGGGCTTTGGTAACAAGGAAATTCTTTTTTTTTTTTTTTTTGAGCTGGAATCTCTCTGTTGCCCAAGCTAAAGTACAGCGGCATGTTCATGGCCTCCGCAGCGTTGACATGCTGGGCTCAGGTGGCCCTTCTGCCTCAGCCTTCCAAGTAGCTGGAATTACAGGCATATACCACTATGCCCGGCTAATTTTTTCATTTATTGTAGAGATGAGGTCTCACCATATTGCTCAGGCTGGTTTTGAACCTCTGAGCTCAGGTAATCCTCTCGTCTCTGCCTCCCAAAGTGCTGGGATTATAGGTATAAGCCACTGCACCAGGCCAGGAACAAGGAAATTCTTAGAAGATTATAAGGTCCCTGGAAGGGATAAAGGATGTACATGTGGAGAAGTAGCAAGATGGAATGTGCAGAAGTAGCAATCTATAGGCCACGACACAACTGCGATATGAGTAAAGAATCTGTACCAGGAACTGCCTGCTAAATAACAACCAATGGCCAGAAAATAGGATGAGGGCAAACTTTAGAAAAGGTAAAACATTGCTAAGCATGTTGTAAACGCAGTTTCCACTCAAAAGAGGGTATCACAACAATCAAATGCAATGTGGGCCCTTGATGATATCCTGGTTGTGTGTGTGTGTATGCTAGGGCAGTGGGCGGGGAGGGTGGAAAGAGGAGGGAAAGCAGCTATGAAAGCTAATCTTAGAGCAACTGGGAAAAGTAGGATGTAACTCGTGGTGGATGCTGCTGTTGCCTCACCTGGTGTCCCTTTGCCTAACCTGAACATCCATCATCCATCCTTACCCCCGCTCTGCCAGCTGCTAAGGGCTCACAGCGATCTCCTTAGCGTCAGCCTGGCCCCATAGGGAGCTCAGAAGTGAGCACTGCACAACTCTCCCTCCTTGAGGTCGGAGCGCTCAGCCTGTATCAGTCAGGCATTAGCTTCAGGATATGGGCCAGAGCAAGGTGGCCTAGGACAATTCTCTGAAATATTTAGGGGCCAAGTACATAATACCTGCAGTTTTAAATGGTGCAGTTAACATACACACACAAATATAGATAGATAAAGCAAGTATGACACATGCAAGAAATGGCAGCTATAGGTGGAGATGCTCAAAGTGTTCATTGTGTGACTCTTTCAACATTTCTGAAGGTTTAAAAAATATTCATAATCAAAATTTGAAGGAAAAAAGAAGGGGATCCAACCCAATGCCTGTTCTTTCATTTGTGGGTTGCCATCCTGAGACTGATGTCCAGACCTGACCAGTGGGTCCAGAGAACCTTGTTAGTTATCTTGAATGTGTATTCTCCCTCATCTTCTACCTGAGGTTGGTCACTAGATCATGTCAAATCTACCTCTGAAAAAAATCTTTCCTTTCATTGCCCTAATTCAGTCATGTTAACTTTTCTAGCCTGGAATAATACAATAGCCTCTTAATTGGGCATCTTTCTTTTTTGTTTTTGTTTTTTGCTTCTTTTATATATGGGGGTCTTACTATATCACCCAAGGGGTTCTCAAACTCTTGTACTCAAGGGATCCTCCTGCCTCAGCTTCCCAAGTAGCTGAGTTAACAGGTATGAGCCATCATGCCCAACTTGGACATCTTTCTTCTAGTGTTGCTATGTCTAATCTCTCCATTTCTCATTTAGCAGCTAGATTCATCATTCTAAACTCCAGTATAATCATGGTATTCCCCTCCTTCAATACTTCCAGTGTTGTCTCATTGTTTATACTAAGATAAACTTCTAACTACTTGACATGGTTCTTGTAAGGCCTTGTAAAGTGGCCCCTTGCTTATCTCTCTAGCTTCACCCTGACATTCATAACCACAATCCTGTGCATGATTCATTTTGAATAACTGAAAAATTCCTTGAACAAGCCACAATCTTCTTTACCTTTTGAATCTAGAAATATTGTACTCAGAACGCATTCCTCACTTTCAGGACTGCTTTCAACTTCCTACTTACACTTCAAGAATTAGTTCAAATTTTACTTCCTTTGGGAAGGCTTCCCTGAGCTCTAGGCAGAGTTAAGTGGTCCCTTTCCACATCCATGCAGCACATCTCTTACACGCCTCTCTTATGACATCACTCCACTGTCAGTGGTATACATGTTTATTTTTTCTCTGGTAGAAGTGAGAGCAGGAAGGCAGGGACTGGACTCTTCATATCTGTGTCCCTAATCTCCAGCACAGTAGTGTCTGATGAATAGTCACTGTTTTTTAGCATTATAAACTTACTACAGCTGGCGAGGGAACATGAATGCTCGGGACAGATCGAGGTCGCACATGATTGGCCAAATGGCAAAGAACTACACCATCAGTCAGAGCAGCTCCAAGATCACAAGGCAGAGACACTTTCAACCGGTACTCAATATGCTGAATGAACAAAAAAAGCATAACATATTAATAGGAGAGTGACTGACACATAAGACACAAGGGAGTTAACAATAAAATATATTTAATTAGAAATCAAGATAAAAAGGAAACAAGTACCACTATATTCCATCCTTCTGTCTTAAGTTAATAATTGAAGAAACAATGGACACTTGTTGATTCTATATGTACGGCAGCTGGGCCACAGTGGTGTAAAATGTAACAAAAATTCATTTATAATTTCCTGATTAAAAAAAACAACTTAGCCGGGCTTGGTGGCTCAGCCTGTAATCCCGCACCTTTGGGAGGCTGAGGTGAGTGGATTGCCTGAGCCCGTGGGTTCGAGACCCGCCTGGGCAGCGAGACCTCATCTCTACAATAAATCAAAAAATCAGTCGGGCGTGGTAGCGCTTGCCTGTAATTCCGGCTACTTGGAAGGCTGAGGCGGAAGGATCGCCGGAGCCCAGCAGATTGAGGCTGCGGTGGCCGGGAGCGGCCACTGCACTCCAGTATGGGCGACAGAGTGAGACTCCAACTCAAAAAAGAAAGAAACAACAACAAAAAAACAACTTACTCACGCACGGTGGCTGACACCTGTAATTCCAGCACTTTGGGAGGCCGAAGTGGGAAGACTGCTTGAGCCCAGGAGTTCAAGACCAGACTGGGCAGCATAGCAAAACCTCATCTCTAAAAAAAGATTCAAGTAGTCCCAGCTACTTGGGAGGCTGACATGGAAGAATCTTCCTGAGCTTAGGAGGTTGAGGCTATGGTGAGCCATGCTCATGGCACTGCACTACAGTCTGGGCAACAGAGTGAATCTGGCCCAAAAAACAAACAAAAAAACCTCAGTTATCTTTCAGTTCCAAAATAAAATCAGTAGCCAGTCTCTAACTGTATTTGTGTAAATGTGATATTTATCTGTATATGTGTACACACATATATTCTTACAATAATTCTTTATAACATGAGGCAGGAATGAAAAATATTTTAAATGAGTAGGATGGAATTGAGCTTTATAGAATAAGCCATCTAACTTTCTTTCTTTTTTTTTTTCTTTTTTTTAAGTAGGAGTCTCACTCTGTCACCCAGGTTGGAGGGCAGTGGCACACTCACGGCCACTGCAGCCTCGACCTGTTGTGCTCAGGTGATCCTTCCACCTCAGTCTTACAAGTAGCTGGAACTACAGGTATGCACCAACCCGCCCAGCTAAATCCTTGCTTTACTGTAAGAATGAGGTCTTGCCTAGTTGCCCAGGCTGGTCTCAAACCTGTGAGCTCAGGCAATCCTCTCACCTCGGCCTCCCAAAGGGCTGTGACTGTAGGCGTGAGCCACCATACTTGGCTAAGCCATCTTACTTTCTAAGTAAATGGTTGACAAGCATTTTCTTAGTAGCAAAATTTCTTTTACTTTCATCACAAAATACAACAGACAATGAGTACTTGTTGATTATGTTAAAAATTCTATGTCAAATGAGGAAGTGATTGCATGATTGTGAACTACAGCAGTATCACTGAACAAATATAATTCAAAGGTAATGTACATACTTTCCGTAATTGATCTATTAATTCCAGTTCTTCTTCTCTCTGTCTTGAATTCTGCCTTGTTATGGAATCTGTAGAATCAGTGGTAGATGCAGAAGACTGAAGAAGTGGTGAACCATGACCTAGAAAAGTAGTATATTGAGATAGACAGGAAAATACTGAGATCTGTCTGGTCACCACTTTTACTTTCTGGATCGACTTTTTAAAAAATATTTTTATTATGAAAAATTTTAAATATATATAATAATAGGGAGAACAGTATAAAAAACTATGTATGTCTATTACTCATTTAACTCAGCTACTTTTGTTTGATTATATCCATTTAAAAACGTTTTTACTGATAAAGACATGTATACAGAAAATTACACAAATCATAAGCAGTGCTCAATAAATTATCCCCACAAAGTGACCACAATCAAATCTATAAATGAACATGACCAATACTCAGAAGTCCCTCTCATGCTTCTTGTCCACTGGTACCCAAAGGTTCTAATTAATAGATTAGTTTTGTTCACTTTTGAACTTTCTATAAATTAAACCATGTTTATCTATTATTTTATGTCTGTCTTCTTTTGAACAATGTTATGTTCATGAGACTTACTCATTATACCACAATTAATTTATTCGCTCTATTGATGACATTCAGTTTGGGGCTATTAGGAATAATGCTGCTATGAATATTTCTGTATATATCTTTTGGTATACACATGTGCATGTTTCTGAAAGTAAACTACCAGTCACATGTATACAGTTATCCCTCAGTGTCTGTGGAAGACTTGGTTCCAAGACACCCCTCCATCGAACTTCATGGATGTTCAAGTGCTTTATATAAAATGAAGTAATATTTGTATATAGCCTACATACATCCTCCCATATACTGAACCTTAAATCATGTCTAGATTATTTGTAATACCTAATACAATGTAAAAGCTATATAAATAGTTGCTATGCTATATTTTAAAATTTGTAATACTTCTTTATTGTATTTTGTTTGTTTATTTTTTCTGAATATTTTCTATCTGTGGTTGAATCCATGGATGCAGAACCCAGGCATATGGAGGGCCGATTGGCAATGTAATTTCCCATGCTAATTTACACTCTCACTAGCAGTGCCTCTCTGGTTTGATTTTTAAATCTTACTGAGTGATCTGCTGATAACATCGAAAGCAGTTATTTTTCACTTGAAAGGTTTGTTTCATTCCCAGATAATTTCTCCTTTGGGAACAAGGTAGACTTTGTCATTACTAACTAAAAGAACATGAGACTTTTTTTTTGAGTAGGTATCTTACTCTGTCACTCAGGCTGGAGTGCAGTGGCATGCTATTGGCCACCGCAGCCTCCACCTGCTGGGCTCAGGTGATCCTTCTGCCTCAGCCTTCCAAGTAGCTGGAACTACAGGAGTGAGCTACCACGCCCCACTCATTTTTTAATATTTACTGTAGACAAGGTCTCGCCAAGTTGCCCAGACTGGTCTCGAACCCCTGGGCTTGGGCAATCCTCCCGCCTCCACCTCTGCCTCCCAAAGGATTACAGGCATGAGCTACTGTGCTGGCCAGAACCTGAGACTGTAAGTAGATTTTTAAAAAAATACTGATTTTTTTTTTTTTTTTGAGTTGGAGTCACTCCGTTGCCCTGGCTGGAGTGCAGAAGCACCTCAGCATCGACCCGCTGGGCTCCAGTGATCCTTCCGCCTTAGCCTTCCATGTAGCTGGAACCACAAATATATGCAAACGTGTCCGGCTAATTTTTTGATTTATTGTAGAGACGAGGTCCTGTTGAGCTGCCCAGGCTGGTCTCGAACCCCTGGGCTCAGCAATCCTCTCACCTCCGCCTCCCAAAGTGCTAGATTACAGGCGTGAGCCACGGTACCTGGCTGAAAGAGTATTTTATTAGTTCACACACTCTATGACCTGCCTTTAGGTAGTAGTAAAAAACTTTCTAATCAAAAGAAATTCAGCTGAGTGTACTGGTACATACCTGTAATCCTAGCTATTCTGGAGAAGGAGGCAGGAGGATTGGTTGAGCCTAGGAGTTTGAGACCACCCTAGACAATATAGCAAGACCCTGTCTCAAAACAAAACGAAATATCAAATCCAAACAAAATTCTCCTTATTCACCTTCTATGAAATCACAGACACATGCAGAGTTTAAATCTTTTGCCTAGGCCAAGGGTGTGAGCTCACATCTATAACCTGAGTGCTTTGCAAGGTCAAGGCAAAAGAATGGCTTGTGGCCAGGAGTTCAAGACCAGCCTGGGTAACACAGCAAGACTCTGTTTCTACAAATTTTTTAAAAATGAGCTGAGTGTGGTGGTGTGTGGCTATAGTCCAAGCTACTCCGGAGTTTAAGGTGGGAAGATCACTTGAGACCAGGAGTTTAAGGCTGAAGCGAGCTATGACCATACCACTGCACTCCAGCCTGGGCGATAGAGCGAGGGGCCTGGCTCTTACTTTATTTTTAGTAATGACTTCTAAGAAGGTAGAGGTGGTTCTTCAGAACAAACCAAAAAAAGCTCTTGCCAAGGCGATAGCTCAGTGTAGAAGTTTGAAAGTAAGTAACAGCTGTGTCATTGGGTACAAACACATCCCCCACTCAGCCTGTCCTCGCCTTTCAGAATCATCACCACATACCTTTATTTGTTTCTGCCCTAACACCTGCTCGGAAAAGGAAGCTTTCAGGGCGCAGGGGCTGATTTCTCTGGGTAGCAGCAGGAAAAGAATATGCAGGGGAATGATGAACTAAATCAGCATGGAAAAGCAAAATGAATAAAGATGGAAAGAAAATTAAATATAATAGTAGACATCCATGTCACAAAAGTTCAATAAATAGCAAATGAAGAAAAAAATCAAATTAAACATGGCAATGATATGATAGTTCTGAAAAGTAATTCTGAAAGTCAACCTTGAAAGCAGGGAGGCTGCTTGTATGTTTTAAATTGTCATGTTATTTTTGTGTATATCAATAAAGGCAGAAGGAATGCTTAACATATAGAACGCAGTCTCTCTCTCTCTTTTTTTTTGAGTTAGAGTCACACTCGGTGCCCAGACTGGAGTGCAGTGGCTGCTCCCGGCCACCGCAGCCTCGCCTGCTGGGCTCTGGCGATCCTTCCGCCTCAGGCCTTCCGAGTAGCCGGAATTACAGGCATGTGCTACCATGCCCGGCTGATTTTTTGATTTATTGTAGAGATGAGGTCTCGCTGCCCAGGCGGGTCTCGAACCCTCGGGCTCAGGCAATCCACTCACCTCAGCCTCCCAAAGGCGTGGGATTACAGGCTGAGCCACCAAGCCCGGCTAGATCACAGTCTCTTATAAACCTATAGATAGCCCTGCTAGCTGCTGTTCACGTGTTCATATCAAATTGCTGCATTAGCAACCAGTTGAAAAAACTAGTGCAAAATGTTTCCAATTTGTGTCTGATTTCCATCTCAGAAAAAGAAGGCACAGTTTTCTAAGTAACTAATCAGGGAAACTGTGGTAAATAATTACTATCTTGATATGGTTAACTGCACCTCTGTGTCTATTACCTGTTTCTGTTGTAGGTGAACTTGACACGGTACCGGATCTGTCATCACCCTGTAGAGAAACAGATATATACCAATAATTATCATTCAAGAAGAGATACTTTCCACATTTATGGTAACTTTGGGATTATAAAAAAAGAGAAAAAATAAAACCTATGCAACTCTCTCTTAAAATTAAGTCTAAAAATGAGAATCTGATGAAGTAAATTAATTTTGTGTTTTTTTAAAAGTCAAACTTTTTCATTAGTTGTGTTTATGTGAGGCATTCTTTAAAGACAGTCCCATTATCTAACAGACCTTTTTTAAGACTGAAAAATGATCATCCTAAGATAGAAAATTTTAGTAGGAAATAAATAGGAAAATAAAAAATAAAATTGTATTTTCTAACAGTATTTCTCTAGAATAGTTTCTAAAGTATATTTTTCTCTAGAAAATAAAATGTAATGTTATAAATAAAGTAATAAAGGTTTTTTTCATTTCCATTAGGAAAAAAGAGCGTTAAGAGATGATAGAGATAACATTTTCTAGACTAATCTGAATCCAAGTTATTTTCAATTCATTGCCCAAAGGACCTGTAAAAAAGAGGAAGAGTTAGCTAAACTGGTATAAAGTTCACCTAAAAAAAGGGAAATGCAGTTAAGGTAATTTAAAAAGAATGGTTGGGCTCAAGATTTTGAAGACCTGGCAGGGAAGTAGAATCAAGAAAAACTAGAATTCAGTCAGACATGGTGGCTTGTGCTTGCAATCCCAGCTACTTGGAAGGCCGAGGCAGGAAGATCAAGTGAACCCAGGAATTTGAGGCTGCAGGGAGTTATGCACTCCAGCCTGGGTGACACAACAAGACCCCACCTCATAGGAAATAAAAAGCTAGAATAGCAAGTTTTTCAGGCCTTGACATCTAATTACACTTAAATATAATTATAAATGTAACTGTGATATGATAACTAAGACATATTTCTGAACATAATGACTTTAAAGCTAACATATACTTGTCCATGCCAAGTGAAGGCAAAAAAAAAAAAGAAAGAAAAAATCATTTTAAAAGCTAAGATATACATACATATCTGTTCCCATGGTTTTCCTCCCTTTGGTTTCAAAAATTTTACATCTCTAGTTAGAGTTGGGTTAGATAAATTAATAAATAATTTTAACTGCTAAAAAACTAGTAATAAGCAGAAGCTACACAGTTAAGAAAATTCTTCAGACTGATCTGGAGACAATTTTCTGGTAACAATTCCTTAGTTTGACACATGTAGGCTGATAATTAAAATTTTAAAAGTAAGCTGCATTTGTGAGTAAAGCAGTGTATCAGTCAAAAAGACATGTTCATGAAGTTTATGGATGCAACTAAACTAAACTTTAGGTGTTAAGATGGAGATTTAAATAAGAAATTTAATTCAAGCCAGGTGTGGTGGCTCATGCCTGTAATCCCAGCACTTTGGGAGGCAGAGGCGAGATGACAGTCTGAGCCCTAGGCAACTTGTCGAGACCTCATCTCTACAATAAATAAATTAGCCAGGTGTGGTGACAAGCGTCTGAAGTTCCAGCTACTTGGAAGGCTGAGGCAGAAGGATCGCCTAAGCCCAGCAGGTCTTAGGCTGTGGTGGCTGTGAGTGTGCTACTGCACTCCAGCCTAGATGACAGAATGAGACTCTGGCTCAAAAAAAAAAAAAAAAAAAGAAAGAAAAGAAAAAGAAAACAAATACAATTCAAAAGAAGAGTAACAGGAACTAAACCAAGGTGTAGTAGCTCACACCTGTAATCCCAGCACTTTGGGAGGCTGAAGCAAGAGGATTGCTTGAGCCCAGGGGTTTGAGACCAGCCTGGACAACTTGGCGAGACATTATCTCTACAAAAAATTCAAATAGTTAGCCTGGTGTAGTGGCACGTGCCTATAGTTCAGCTACTTGGAAGGCTGAGGTGAATGAATCACCTGAGCCCAGCAGGTCAAGGCTGTGGCCACTGGCTGTGAGCGTGCCACTGCACTCCAGCCTGGGTGACAGAGTGAGATTCTGACTAAGAAAAATAAATAAATAAAATAAATAATCTCAGAAGTCAACCTAAAGTCATTGGTTTTTTTTTGTTTTTTTTTTTGAGTTGGAGTCTCACTCTGTCGCCCAGTCTGGAGTGCAGTGGCCGCTCCCAGCCACCTGCAGCCTCGACCTGCTGGCCTCTGGTGATCCTTTCGCTAGGTTTTTTTTTTTTTTTTTTTTAAAGTAGGAGTCTCACTCTGCCACCCAGGGTGGAGTACAGTGGCATGTTCACGGCCAGCGCAGCCTCAACCTGCTGAGCTCAGGTGATCCTTCCACTTCAGCCTTCCAAGTAACTGGAACCACAGGTGCGCGTCACCACGCCTGGCTAATTTTTAAATTTATTGTAGAGATAACATCTTGTCACGTTGCCTAGGCTGGTCTCGAATTCCTGGACTCAGGCAATCCTCTCGCCTCTGCCTCGTAATGTGCTGGGATTACAGGTGTGAGCCACTGGGTCCGGCTCTAAAGCCAATTTTTAAAAGCCTGGCTAAGCAATAAAAAAAATAAATCAGGCATAAATATAGTGTCTAGTGTATAACTATTGTAAAAGTAATCAGAACACCAACTAAACAATAGATTTCTTAAAACTAATAATGACAGTAAAAAAAATTAAAAACTGTCTTAAATCTAGTAAAGTTTTAGATTTAATATCACATGATAGTCTATACAATAAGAAAATATACTCTGGATCACATCACTTTTGGTACATTCAGATTGAGCTTTTCTCAACTATGAGAAAGAATGATCCTCAATGCTCTAAGGTATCCACTGAGTGTAATGAATTAACTTCTCTCTCATACATATAGAATAGTACTAGTTTTGTACCTTCCTTGAGAGAATTTTGAAAAAAGTTGCTAAAGTAATTTTCTCTGCTGTTGTTCAAATAAGGAATCCAGTTGAGAAAGGCTGGCATGGAAGATAACTATCAGGTTTTTTTCAGAGGACACTCAGGTATATATATATAGCATCTTCAATAATAACCAGAGAGGAGGTTCATCAGGTATACAGATGTTATACAGTAGGAGATCAGAGTTTAAAAGGACATGATACAAGAATCTGAAAGCATTCTGGTAAATTAGCGCAGTAAAAATGTTTGCAAAGCAAAATTAAATATTCAGGGAAAAGCTGAAGATACAACATGTGGAAATTAACTGTCATAGAGGAGTATAACTAAAACATTTGAGAATTATACTGGATACCGCACAAAATAAATTTCAAAAATGGAAAAATAACCTAAAGTTTAAAGTAAGATGTGAAAACCTTTGTTTTGTGCTCAGCATCAGGCAGGCTCTGAAGAGGGATACCTTTTTAGTTGTGGACCATGGGGTCAAAATGAAGGGCAGAGAATTTGTGGAAGTTCATCAAGGATTAATAGGCTGGGAAAGGCATGTGAAAGGATCTGAGTTTATTTAGGAAAAAGAAAAGGATGGTGTCATAATAGTTTTCAAATATAAAGATTCTTACATAAAAAATGCTAAATAACTCGAAAATCTCCACTCAGGAAAGAAAAGAAGAAAGTAAACCACAGAAGGACTGTTATGGGTTAGACAAAGCTTTTTTTAACAAAGAGAATTATTAATCATTTCTTATGTATCCTCTGATAATAGGAAATTACCATCCCCAGACTACAAGTTATTAATTTTTAGAATTTAGATTCAATTTTGTTTCTTTTTTAAAAAAATAACTCAATCATCTTTCCCAAAGACTCAATTTTTCTAGAGGGTGAAATTTATTATCCTTATAACATTATTATTGATATAAAGCAGGAGCTGGCAATTTTTTTCTTACAGGCCCAGACAGTAAATATCTTAGGCTTGCAGGCACATGATCTTTGCCACAATTATTCCAACTCAGCTGTTTACTGCAAAAGCAGCCATAGACAATACAGAGACAAAAGGGACTGGCTGTGTAACAAAAAAGCTTTATTTACAAAAGTAGAAGGCCGAGAAGCCATAGTTGGCTGACCCTTACTGTACAGGATCTTGGCAGTAATAGTTTTCTGGATGGGGACTCATTATTTTACATGCACATTAGACAACAGAGTTATCTGATATTTATGCTAGCCAAAGTAAAATGATAAGTCATGACAAGGCCAGGCACAGTGGCTCACACCTATAATTTCCACACTTTGGGAGGCCGAGGTGAGAGGGTTACTTGAGCCCAGGAGTTCAAGACCAGCCCAGGCAACATAGCGAGATCTGTCTCTCCAATAAGTAAGTAAATAAATAAATAATAGCTAGGCATGGTGGCATGTGCCAGCAGTTCTAGCTACTTGAGAGGGCTGAGCCCAGGAGGCAGCAGAGTGAGATCCTGACTCAAAAAGAAAAAAGAAGTCATGACAAAATAAAACCTTTGTTTAAAAAATTAGAATGACACATCAAACAGAATCTGAATAGAAGAACTAATGCAGGCTCTATGACTATCTCTGGCATGATAAAACCTTCAAAAATTTCAAGTGTAATCAACATTAAATGTGAATAGTTTCTTAAGCTTTAGGTATACTTCATGCAATCCAGGTATACTTCATGCAAAGCAGATTTCAGACTGCTGTTAGACCAATCCATTGGAAAATTTCAGACCTCCCTTGTACACTCCCATCCCAAATTTCCTGATGAATTGCAGTAACAAGAAATACCTTAAGAGGTGCAGAGGCAGAGGAATGAGACAGAACAGCAGCACAGTCCACTTGACTGAACCCTGACAAGCGACTGCATTTCAAATGAGGAGGAGAACAGAAGGCAGCATTTATGTTAGCACAACGTTGGACAGGCAGATCCGACCAGTGAAATTAGAAAAGAAAAGACCATCGACAAACTTTCAAATGGTTACTAAGATACTGACAGGGCAGAAAAAGAGTATTTTTGTGGGGGAAAGCCCATCATTTATACAACACAGTTTTTCTACCTGTACAATTCTGGACAGTCTCAATACCTCGTATCACATTAATCAAGAAATGAGAAGCATAATTTATTAAAAATTATTTTATGAAAAATAAGGTTGAGCCAATCAATATTGTTAGCACAACAGTCTTGAAACCAATAAGTCTTGTGCTATTCCTACAATGGAGGAAATAAATCCAGTCCAAGAGCTTATTTTAACTGAGCAGAAATGGCATGAGTAAGAACAACAGTTTTTCAATTTTAATCCAAATGAGATTTATTATAATTCAATTCAATGGCTCTGACGTGAGAAGACAGGACATGAGAATTCTGCATCACACTTTATGAATCAGCATTTCGTTTCTGTCTGTGTGAATTCCAAATGACCTATAAGAGGATAAGATGGAACTTCCCTTTTCTTTGAATCCTTTATCCTTTGCCAACCAACATACAGCTGGTTAGACATACTAGAGATACAGACAGAAATACAAAATGTTAGAACCTACTATATATATATATATGAGTATAATTATTATTTGTCAATTAAAAATGAAATAAAAATCTATTGTACAGAATTTTGATTACAGGCAAGAGATGCTCAAAACATGACATATTTTTCCTTTCCACTACATGGGAAGTGGAAATCAGAGAAGACAATACTTTCAAAAAGAGCACCGGGTAAGGTTCTACCTATTAACAAAATGCTAAAGTTCAAAAATATTAAGGCCTTTATAAGTTAAATAATTAAAATTAAACTAGGATCACAAATTTCTGAACCATGGGATAAATGAATAAAAACACCCATGTGGGTATTTAGAAGAAGGTGTGTATATTGTCAGTAAATAAATATAACTGCATTGTTTGTTTTTGGGGTTTTTTTGAGTTGGGGTCTCATGCTGTTGCCCAGGCTGGAGTGCAGTGACATGATCATGGCTCACTGCAGCCTCAATCTCCTGGTATCAGACAATCCTCCCACTTCAGCCTCCCGAGCAGCTAGGCCTACAGGCACGTGCACCATGCCCAGCTAATTTTTAAATTTTTTGTAGAGATGAAGTCTTGCTGTGTTGCCCAGTCTGGTGTCAAACTCCTGGACTCAAACAATTCTCCAGCCTTAACCTCCCAAAGTGTCATCGCACCTGGGTCACAAGTGTATTTTTTTTATTTTTTGAGTTGCAGTCTCACTCTGTTGCCCAGGCTGGAGTGCAGTGGCATGCTCATGGCCACCACAGCCTCGATCTGCTGGGCTCAGGGGATCCTTCTGCCTTAGCTTTCCAAGTAGCTGGAACTACAAGCATGCACCACCATGCCTAGCTAATTTTTTTGGTTTATTGTAGAGATGGGGTCTCACCAAGTTGGCAGGCTGGTCTCAAACCCCTGGACTCAGGCAAGTCTCTCATCTCTGCTTCCCAAAGTGCTAGGATTACAGGCTTGAGCCACCACGCCCAGTATCACAACTATATTTTTAATGAGTGTCAACATCTTTTTTCTTTAATCAAAAAAAGCATGTAACACATACACAATGTATTATTACAACAAAATCTACCTTACAACAGTAAATAATGAAGGAACTATTACACCAAAGAACAATACTGTGACTACAGTAATACACTGTGTATTCATCACCTGTTTAGATTTCCTGTGCTTTTTATTTATTAAATGTACAGGAACTAATATCAGCCTCAAATATAAAAAGGCTAAAAGCCATTATGTTGAGAAAGAAGTAAAAAAAGGAGTGAAGGAAAGAGAACGTCTTTTTTTTTTTGAGTCAGTCTCATTCTGTCACTCAGGCTAGAGTGCAATGGCATGCTCATGGCCATTGCAGCCTCAACTTGCTGGACTTAGGTGATCCTTCCATCTCAGCCTTCCAAGTAGGTTCCAACCACAGGCACATGCCACCATGCCTGGCTACTTTTTTTTATTTATTGTAGAGATGAGGTCTTGCCAAGTTGCCCAGGCTAGTCTCGAACCCATGGGCTCAGGCAATCCTCTCACCTCAGTCTCCCAAAATGCTGGTATTATAGGCGTGAGTAACCACACCCAGCCTTGTGAACACTTTCTTAAAATGAGATAGGATATTTATTGATGGAAGCAACAGAAGCTGAAGGGACAGTCCTAAGAGAATGTTACTGTAACTGATACTAGATATAACAATATTTATTTTAAATCCTGCATTTCCAAGATCTGTAAATCAAATCCAACATTTATTTATCTTGCTATATCATCAGACCTCTTCATTATGAAACAATTTAGATACACAGCATTTATGTGTTCACTCAGGAAATATTTGTTGAGCACTAACATATCCCAGGAACTGGGGTGAGGAATGAGTATATAAAGATAAACACAATAGAGAATATTCTTGTGCCCATGAAGCTTAAGTCTAGTACTCTAATAGAAAACAGATATAAAATAATAAACACTCAAATAAAAGTATTGTGAAGAAAAAAATAACAGTGAAGTCACAAACTTGACTTTAGGGTAGGGGGCTGCGGAAAACTCTTTTTTTTTTAAGTTAAACTTTTATTTTTTTAAGTGCCTCATTCTATCACCTAGGTTGGAGTACAGTGGCTTGATCACTGCTCACCGCAGCCTCGACCTCATGGGCTCAGGTGATCTTTCTGCTTCAATCTCCCAAGTAGTTGGTACTACAAGCACATGCCACCACACCTGGCTAATGTATTTATTTATTTGTAGAGACAGGGTCTTGCTATGTTGCCTAGGCTGTTCTTCACTCCTGGTCTCAAGCAAACCTCTCGCCTCGGCCTCCCAAAGTGCTGGTATTACAGGCATGAGCCACTGCGAGCCCAGAAAACCCATTTTAAAAGACATGACTTTAAACAGATACTGACAAACAAGAATTAATCCAGGAGTATATGAAGGGAGAGAAAGGTATTCCATGTAGAAGGAACAAACAGCATTTGCAAAAGTCCTGAGGTGGGAAAGGCTGGCCAATTTGAAGAGCAGAAAAAAATGCTAGTATGGTATGAGCCCAGAGGTATCATAGGAGAGGTAAACAGTAGCCAGAGTATGCAGGAACTTCTAGGCCAGATTAAGAGATTTAGATTTTACTCTAAGAGCAATATGAAGCCTTTGAAGATTAGTTTTGAGAAGATTAAATATTATTTAAAATATGATTATTTTTTGCACAGTATTGGTTAGCCACTACTTGACATATAAAGAATGTGAGATTTGCTTTTAAAGGCCATCGAATTCAGAATAAATTGTTTACTTTCAAAGACCATCTTATTAAGAAAATCAGTCATGAATACTGATAACTAAAATACAAGTGAATGAGTTTTGATAAATGGCGGAAAGCTATTTCAAATTTTACACTAAGGAGATTTTGCTATTGTTCATTTTCTAAATTCTCCTTTTTCCTTGCCAAGAATGTCTGGGCACTTATATCACTTATACATATGTGATTAAGTTTCTAAACTGTTTTAAATTACAATATGGTAGGCATTACAGCATGGCATTTAATGCAGGTTCTTGCGTTAACTAGATATGGGTTCCCAGCCTGGCACTTACTAGCCATGTGACTCTGACAAGCTACTATTCTGAATAGAACATCGTGCCTCAGTAATCATTTGTAAAATGGTGAGATAAGTTTAACCAAGTGTCTGCATCATCAGAGGCTCTCAATATTTTTCCACATTAATTTATTCTTTGTTTCTTATACCAGTTAACTTCCACTAAAACTCCAGAGGTTGGTGGCTGTATTCACTATAAGACTGCCCGGTTAAAATGTGCTTTATCCATCTCGAAGGAAATGAAGATTGCATAATACACGGAATTTTAACAATGAAAGTCTATTTAACAGAAATCTCATGCTGAAACATGCAGTTCATGCAGTAATCCACACAATGGGAGCAGTTACTAGCCCCTAAGACAGGTATGGCTACAGACATTAGACTTCTGAACTGCTAGTTTTCAATACCACTGTGAAAAAAAATAACATAAAACATGATGGGAAAAGCAATTCGGTAAGTGGTTAGAATTCTTTTGCAAGGCTGATAAAATGAAGACTTTAAATAAAACTCTTATGTTATACACATTTTCAGCTAATGAAACAAATAAAAGTAAACCAGCGTTAAAAATGATCAGTAGCTAGCATTTCCGTTAATGTTTTCCTGAGTTTAAAAATGAGCATGGATAAATAATCTTGAAATGTACATATTCAAAACCAAAGTTTGGGCTTCTCAGTAACTTAAAATACATAATAAAATAGGATGCCAAATAAACAGTTATGTAATTAGTGTCATAGAGTAAGGAAGTCCATTTTATACAGGTGATCCATGAGCCAAATTTATGATTAGTAAATTAAGTGCACCTGGAATTAGAAACATTAAAAAACGAATCTTATGTTATGTCTCTACTCCCCAGCACACGCATAGAGCCAATGTTTTACTTTTGGAAGCACTGAGAAAGATATGTAAATCATAGCTCCAGAACTCTGGCACACTGGGTAAATGACAAATGGTAACATAGGGAAACAGTTCTCGTTATCTGTAAAGCATATCATATAATGCTCATCATGTTTTATGGTATTTAGATCATTTCTGAGTGAAAAAAGTACAACAGCTACTCTTTAACCTCTAGACAGATGTAAAACTCCATTTTGTGCAAGACTCTTACCACTAACAAGGCACTATCATCAGTATGCTGAGACCTTCTGGGTGGGAAGGGACACTGGAGAGGTGGAGAAAAATGAAGCAATGTTAAAAACAAACTGTGCACACGTGACATATTTCACAAACACACACAAGGAAAGGAACATATTAAGAATAAGAAGCACTTCTGAAGGTGCTGACATATAGGACCACATTCACAATCTGAAATTCATGCATTTAACAGTCAGTAAGTTGATCCTGAGTATGGATGTTCTTCCAAAGAGTTTTAACAACTTCAAATGTGATCTTATTGTCTACAACCTTCCAAAGCAAGAGGGAAACAGGGATTATCCAGAGGAGAAAGCTGAAGTACAGATATAACAATAACATAAAGAATTTGCGGTAACTGAGTAAGCCAGCAACAAATTAAACAATAAACCAAGAGTCGTGATTTCTAGTCTTTATTACCTTTCTTAAAGTAGAGTACAAATGGATATTTTAAAACTGTACATGTTATTCTCCTGTGAAGTTTTAGTTTTTATAGAATGGATTACTTGAGAATGGCCATCAAGAAGGAAAAGGTGGAGTAAAAAAAGAAAAAAATATCTTTATCAAACTTTGGTTTTCAAAAATTTGTGTAGAATTATTACTATGTGAATACTGGTTTTAGAGGTTGTAAAAAAAAAAAAAAAAAAAAGAATTATGTATCCCCTGAAGAAAACACAACTGAAAATGCTTGAATCTTTCAGATATTATACCAGTACATAATGTTCTCATGTAAATAAAAGTAGTTATTATATGTTCAATAAGATTCTTGAAAAACCTTTGTAATGAACAATTTAAAACAAACAATATACTTTCCCTACCAGAAACACTTGTGCTTTAAAAATACTGTGCTAAAAATTGTTGCTTAAAAAACCCCATGCATTAGGTTTTCAAATAACATATTTCACAAAAGCAAAGTCAAGATTCACATGAAACTATGTCTCTATGTATTTTTTAAGAAAGTAATAATCATAAGCTGAAAAATTGGAAGGTAAAGATTAAGGGAAAATAGTGAGAAAGTCAACTACAGTAAAAATATTTATTCAGTAAGCTTCATTTTAACAGAGCAAAATAGGTACATCAATTTTTGTATGTTAACTTGTAACAAAATGTACTACTCGATATTATAAAATGAATGGTACAATTTACAACACTGAAGCTGAAATAGAATGTTGAGTCTTTTTTGTTTAATACTGATACTATTTACCTGTGCCAGATACAGTTCTCAGACTCTCATTACATAGCATGCTTCAAAAATAGATGAGAGGGGGATGATGCCTCCAGTGGAGATGGGGGAGGAAATACAACAATCTCTAGATAAATGTGTACAGATGAAAAAGGCCCAATCAACAGATTCTGATAAACTCCTGCCTGTAGCTTTTTCTCTCTCATAAGTAGAATTTTGTGAGAAATAAAAAAGAAGAATGGCAATATTCTGGTCACTGAAAACATGATAATCACATACAAAACATTTCCATTGCAAAGATAATAAATTCCAGAGAAAGGTGATTAAATAGACTTACCTCACCATCTAAGGGGGCTTGTTGTTTTTGTGGACTTTGTGATGCTTTCTGCTATGTACCCACAAACCCCCCCAAAAAGAGAAGCTGGTTAGAATCTGGAACGCTAAAAATAATAATTTCTATTTACTAAAATAATCACATTAGTTTATCTCTGTATATAGCACTTTTCTAGAATTACTAGTTAGAAAACCTTGCCCCTTTCCTTAAATATCTTAAAATTTAAATGAGGAAAAGCAACAAGCTATAGTACTTTCATATATTCACATACACATATTCAAAATCAGAGTCTTGACTGGCTTCAAATATCACTCTAATGCTAACAACTTGAGCTCTCTATCAGCTAATCTCAGGTTTCCATTTTCAACTACTTGTGGAAACTCTCTATTTGGAAACTCCGCTGTCACTTCATCTTCAACATATTCACAAACTAACTCATGATTTCTCATACTAACAAATTATTTCTCCCAATTGGTTCATCTGTTATTATGTCAAATAATAACATTATAGTATCTGTGTAGTCAGTGTTTCATAATTCTTTTTTTACATAGGGTCTTCCTCTGTCGCCCAGGCTGGAATGTAGTGGCACAACCGTGACTCAAGGCAGCCTCAAACTCCTGGGCTCAAGCCTCTCAAGCCTCCCTCCTATCTCAGCCTCCCGAGTAGCTGGGACTACAGGCGTGCAACACCATGCCCAACTAATTTTTTGATATTTTTTGGAGAGACATCATCTCCCTATGCTGTCTAGGATGTCTAGAACTCCTGAGCTCAAGCAAACCTCTTGCTTTGACCTCCCAAAGTGCTGGGATTACAGGTGTAAGCCTCTGCGTCCAGCCCAATGTGTTTTTATTTTTTGAGTCAGAGTCTCACTCAGTCACCCAGACTGAAGGGCAGTGGCATGCTCCCGGCCACCGCAGCCTCGATCTGCAGGGTTCAGGCGATCTTTCCACCTCAGCCTTCCAAGTAGCCAGAATTACAGGCACGCGCTACCAGGCCTGGCTAATTTTTGATTTACTGTAGAGATGAGGTCTCAGCAACTTGCCCAGACTGGTCTCGAACCCATGGGCTCAGGCAATCCTCTTCCTCGCCTCCCAAAGTGCTGGGATTATAGGCGTGAGCCACACCACTTGGCCTCTAATGTGTTCTTATACACAGTATTTCAAATGATTTCTCTTATTCTTTGAGATAAACAAACATCACAATCATATTATTGAGAGATGAAAAAACTCAGAAGCAAGGTTATGTGACATGTGCCAGGTCACAAAGTTGGTAAACAGTGTAACCAAGATTTGTATCTATGTTTTCTGAGTTCAAATCCAACATTCTTTCCACAATCATAGATTCTCATTGAAGTTACTCATATAAGCTGGGCATGGTGGCTCACGAGTTCAAGATGAGCCTAGGCAACAGCACAAGACCCTATGTCTACAAAAAAAAAATTAGCTGGGCATGGTGGCGTGTGCCTGTAGTCTCAGCTATTGGGAGGCTGAGGCAGAGGGATCTCCTGAGTTCAAAGTTGAGGTTGTAGTGAGCTGTGATTGCACCACTAAACTCTCTAGCCTGGGCAACAAAGTGAAACCCCAACTAAAAAAAAGAGAGAGAAAAAGGAAACCATTTGTTTAGCTTCAAAACCTTGCTTTGGGGCTTTGTTTATTTTTACTCATCTTCTGTGATTTATTCATCATTCATTACCCAGTTATATACAAGATAAAATGATGCTCCTTTTGACATCTTTATTAATAATTAATTTAGAAATAAATTGTAGTGGTAGGGTGTGTAGCACCCACCAGTCTAGCATTAAGTATTAGGTATAGGTCAGACGTGGTGGTTCAAGTCTGTAATCCCAGCACTTTTGGGAGGCCAAGGTGAGAGGACTGCATGAGCACAGGGGTTCAAGACCAGCTTGAGCAACCTGGTGAGACTTTGTCTGTACAATAAATAAAAAAAAATAATAATAAGCCAGGCGCAGTAGCGCATGCCTATAGTTCCAGCTACATGGAAGGCTGAGGCAGAAGAATCGCCTGAGCCCAGCAGGTTAAGGCTGTGGTGGCTGTGATCGTGCCACTGCACTCTAGCCTGGGCAACAGAGTAAGACTCCAACAATAGCAAAAGAAGTATCAGGTGCAGTCATAATCATTTTGAAATAGCTAATATTTCACAGTTAACTATCAAAGACATAGAATGGTTCAGTAACCTCCCCAAAGTCAAGCATACAGTGAGTGGCAAAGCTGGATTCAGATTCAGATTATTTCTCATTTTAAGCTCTTGCCACTGTGCAATACTGCCAACCCTCAGGAACCTTTGAAGTCATCTAGGCTTATGTCTTCATTTTGCATCTCAGTCTAATTATTGCAGATACTAAAATTTCTATTTCACTTTCTTCTTTCTAGTCTCTCTCTTCCTAATACAAGTAGATTAGTTTTTCAGAAATATCTCTCTTCTCATGTTTTTCTCCTGCTTAAGAACTTATAGGCCAGGCAATATCTCAAGGGAGAGAGAGTATTTCGAGGGAGATTGGGATTGAGAGAGGCGCTCCTGTCAACTTCTGTTTTTAAGAACATTAATTTTGCCGGGCTCGGTGGCTCAGCCTGTAATCCTGTGCCTTTGGGAGGGTGAGGTGAGTGGATTGCCTGAGCCCGCGGGTTTGAGACCCGCCTGGGCAGCGAGACCTCATCTCTACAGTAAATTAAAAAAAATCAGCCAGGCGTGGTAGCACATGCCTGTAATTCCGGCTACTCGGAAGGCTGAGGCGGAAGGATCGTCAGAGCCCAGCAGGCGAGGCTGCGGTGGCCGGGAGCAGCCACTGCACTCCAGTCTGGGCGACTGAGTGAGACTTCAACTCAAAAAATAAAATAAAATAAAAAAGAACATTAATTTTAGTTTTTTTGATATTGAAAAAACATTTGCCTGCATTTTGACAGAAAATAATAGGCAATAAAACTTGTTAGATGAAAAGGAATCAGGTGAAAAAGAGCTAAAGATCAACATCATGGTCTTGACACATTTGAAAAAAAAATTTATTCTATAAAACAGTAAAGCTAACACGTACATGGCACTTAAAGAAGATGGTTTTTTAAGCCAGGCTCGGTGGCTCACCCTGTAATCCCATGCCTTGGAAGACTAAGGTGAGTGGATTGCCTGAACCCGCGGGTTCGAGACCCGCCTGGGCAACTTGGCGAGACCTCATCTCTACAATAAATCAAAAAATTAGCCGAGTGTGGTAGCACACGCCTGTAATTCCGGCTACTCGGAAGGCTGAGGCGGAAGGATTGCCAGAGTCCAGCAGGTTGAGGCTGTGGTGGTCGGGAGTGGCCACTGCCCTCCAATCTGGGCGACAGAGTGAGACTCCAACTCAAAAAATAAAAAAAATTATAAAAAATAAAAAAAAGAAGATGGTTTTTGGCTGAAGTTAGAAAATATAGGAGAGGCTGGGTGTGGTGGCTCAAGCCTATAATCCCAGCACCTTGGGAGGCTGAGGTGAGAGGATTGCCCTGAGCTCAGGAGTTCAAGACTAGTCTGGACAACTTGGTGAGACTTCGTCTCTACAATAAATAAAAAAATTAGCTGGGCATGGTGGCGCATGCCTGTAATTCCAGCTACTTAGAAGGCTGACGTGGAAGGATGGCCTGAGCTCAGTAGGTTGAGGCTGCGGGTTGTGAGTATGCGCCATTGCACTCCAGACTAGGTGACAGAGTGAGATTCCTACTCAAAAAAAAAGAAAGAAAGAAAATACAGGCGAGAACAATAAAAAATTAAAAAGCAAAACAAAAAAGAAAGATAAGAGACAAAGCCTTTGGAGGGTCATTCACTCATTTAATTATTCAAAAAATAATTGACTACGCTTTACTATGAGGCATGAGCTACTAAGATCTAGGGACACAGCGGTGAGTAAAGCAGACATAGTTATTATCTTCATGTCTCTTTTTTGTGCCTTCTCCTTGCCTCATCTAATAATGAATGATTACTTACCCAAGAACTGTTATTATGCTAATGGCCATTTCATCATGCTCTCCTTTACCTTGTCATGGTATTTTTGCTCAGGTCATCCTATAATAATATACTATTTTGCTTAATTTGTCAATTTCCCTTTCCCTACTTGATTTGTTATCAAATAAAAACTTTTAAATACTTAATATTTATACAAAATTTAATTCATGAGTTTACAGATAAGTGGGAGAAGCAGACATCAAGCAAATAAAACTACAAATAATTATTTAGTTACGAAGAGGAAAATTCAAGATGATTTGAGAACAAAAAGATAAGTAATACATGCAAAATAAAACAAACAAGGTTCAGATGCTTCCACAGACAGAGGCTGCAAAACGTTAAGACAAGAAATATTAATTAACAGGGGTTCTTAATTGAGTGGATGAGGAGAATAACAGACAGGAAAGAATAAAAAATGACTGTAAAGTCTGTGAGCTTTGTACACTTTTGTTATTTCCTAAAGTGAGGAAGGTGATGGAGAGAGGTTTGAGGGACTTTATGTATACACAATACTTTCACTTTCATGGTCTTACTGATCTTTACTATGACACCAGAGGCAGCTGGATAATAAAGTGATACATGTCCAATGACAGACTGCTAACTAAGAGAGATTATTGTTAAAGAGCAATTAGTTGTTAAAAACGCCAGGTGTGGTGGCTCATGCCTGTAATCCCAGCACTTTGGGAGGCAGAGGTGAGAGGACTGCCTGAGTTCAGGGGTTCGAGACTAGCCTGGGGAACTTGGCGAGACCATGTCTCTACAATAAATCCCCAAATTAGCCAGGCATGGTGGCACACACCTATGGTTTTAGCTACTTGGAAGGCTGAGACAGAGGGATCACGTGAGCTCAGCAGGTTGAGGCTGCAGTGGTCATTAGTGTGCCACTGCACTCCAGCCTGGGCAACAGAGTGAGAATCCTACTCAAAAAAAAAAAAAAAAAAAGAGCAAGATAATCACTTCTATTGTCCTCATGCAGATAGGCACAAGTAGGAGAGACTTCTAAAGAGAGAGAAAAAAGTTGACATTTTAATTAAGACAAATAAAAACTGACAGTCTCAGCAAAACAAATAAGCACTTACTTCTAAGTAATTATAGGAGTATTATTCAATAAATTCATATGACTCACTTTGACAAAGTCCAGGACAGCATCTCTCTGAATCTGCTTGGTCCTTATTTTCTCCTCCTCATACTGTAGAGCAGCAAGCTGTGCCTCTCTTCGAGTATGTTCTACTAATTGTTCTCTCCTCCGGTGAATTTCCAAGTTTGTATGTGACAGCTGGAACAAAAGCATCATTTTACATATGCAAGTGAAAATAAAGATCAACTTATCAACAATCCCTGTCATTTTAGGGAACTGCTGTTGACCTAAGCAACTTTTACTTCGCAGTCACCTAACATTTCTTTAAATGTGTTTATTGCTAATCTTTCCCCAACTTTGTACTGTTTTTATATGTACTAAAAAGTCATCATATAGATAAAGATTTACTTTTTGTCGGGTGTCTAAAAACACTGTTACCAATTATTATGTGCATATGTTAATAATCAGTAGCCTTTACAGATATCTGGCAATTAATGGCAATTTAAGTATTATAAAAGAAGAAAACGATCTTAGTTTAAAAAGCAAAAATAAACGCATATGTAACCCTACTAAAAATTACCTGATTGTGACTTGGTGACAATGACAAGAGAGAAGATGGCTCAACTGGAACCCTGACCCAAAAAAGAAAAAAAAAGAAAGGAAAAACTCTGATAAAAAGACAAGACAGACGTATGAGAAACAAGTGATATTTTTATTGTTAATGTGGCTTTCTACATTTCTGTCTAGTTAGCAATGAAATAATAACTGCATTTTGTAAACCTGAGCCTGTCATCGAATTAAACCATAGGAATACCTGATGTCTCCAACTCACATTTCATGTGATGATATCACTGATTAATCTACAGCTAGCTAACAACTGTCTATGTCAGCCAATACTGATGATACAGTTGAGATCACTTTTCAAACAGTATTGTTTCTTTATAAACACAAATAATGATCTTCTTTACTACCACAATTAAAACAAGATACATGTAAATTGAGATCTTTTATATATAAAGTCAGTTTATCAACAGAAATCTAGAATTCTACAGTATCTGGTAACTGTACCTGTAAAGCACTCCTATTTTACTTTCAACTGATGAAGCAATTTTAAGAACAAAAGTAAAGATTCTGTTGATTTCTTTTTCTTTACTTTTTTTTTTTTTTTTTTTGAGCTGGAGTCTCACTTTTGCCCAGGCTGGAGTGCAGTGGCACACTCACAGCCACCACCACATCAACCTGGTGGGCTCTGGCAATCCTTCCGCCTCAGCCTTCCAAGTAGCCAGAACTACAGGCACACACTACCATACCCGGCTAATTTTAGATTTATTGTAGAGACAAGGTCTCCCCAATTGCCTGGGCTGGTCTCGAACCAGCAGGCTCAGGCAATTCACTCACCTTGGCCTCTCAAAGTGCTGGGATTACAGGTTGAGTCACCAAGTCCGGCCAATTTCTATTTTTAAGAAAAAGATAAAACCCTATTCTGATATTTAAAAAAACCCCACCCAAAACCCCCAAAACCAGGATGTACTACTTGCTTCTCACTGTTATCAGAACCTAAAACTTGAAAACCTAATTATTAGCCTATCAGGTTGATTTAAGTGCACTGAAATCAGTGTGTAATTAGGGAAATAAAAACAAATCTCCAAAAGCTCTAGTAGTTTCTATCACCTTTTACTACTAATACCAATTCTTCTGGCATTCAGGATTCTCACCCCTTTTAACAAACATGCTCACTATGGAATTTTTCCATAGTATGTACTGATCTTAGAGCTTAATTGGTTACTGAGGTAAGTATGGAGTTCTTATCTAAGGACTGTTTTAAGGTCTAGTGATTTGAAACATCCAATTAAAAAGTAATCACAGTTTTAGTTTCTAGCACTGTGGCAGACTAAACACCCTGAATGACTCTTAAAATGGAAACAACTAAATACTCAATAAGATAAAATAATCTTTTAAAATGTATTGAAGTGCCATGAAAATAAAGAATCCACAGATTCTAAAAAGGAAATAAAATAGGAACCCTGGATTAAGGTGTAGTAGGCAGACTTTTGGCTACCATGATCTTTGCCCTAGTCTTACTCTAGTGAATATGCTATATTACATGGAAAAAGAGACTTTGCAGATGAAATTAAGATTACTAATCAGTTGACCTTAAAATGGGGAGACTATCCCGGTGGGCCTAATATAATCACAAGCCCTTCAAAGCAAAGAAGGCTAACGAGTTTATGATGTGGCAGAAAGGGAAGTCAGAAAAATTCAAAATATAAGAAGGATTTGGTCCACCAAGCCTGGCTTCAAGTTGGAGGAGGCCGAGAATAAGGAATTGGGGTGGTCTCTAAAAGTTTAGAATGATCACCACTGGCAGCCAGCAAGGAAATGGGGACCTAAGTCCTATAACTGCATGAAACTGAATTCTGCCAATGATATGTAGAAGTCTGAAAGTAAATTTCCTCCAGAGTCTCCAGATAAGAATCCAGGCCAGCCAACACCTTAACTTTGACCTTTAAGCAGAGAATCTAGGGGAGGCTGTCCAGATTTCTATGTTGCAGAAGTGTAACATAGGTGGTGGCTCATACCTGTAATCCTAGCACTTTGGGAGGCCAAGGCAGGAGGATTACTTGAGCCCAGGAGTTCCAGACCAGCCTGGGCAACATAGCAAGACCTTGTCTCTTAAAAAAAAAAAAAATTAAGCCTGGTTCGGTGGCTCAGCCTGTAATCCTGCATTTTGGGAGGCTGAGGTGAGTGGATTGCCTGAGCCGGCGGGTTCGAGACCCGCCTGGGCAATTTGGTGAGACCTCATCTCTACAATAAATCAAAAAAATCAGCCGGGCATGGTAGCGCTACTGCACTCCAATCAGGGCGACAGAGTGAGACTTCAAAAAAAAAAAAAAAAAAAAAATCAGCTGGCTATAGTGATACATGCCTGCAGTCCCAGCTACTTGGAAGGCTGAGGCAGGAGAATCACTTGAGCCTAGGAGTTTGAGCTGTAGTGAGCTGTGATTGTGATTGTGTATTCCAGCTTCCATAACAGTTTAGACTCCAATTCAAAAAAGAAGTGTAATATAATAAACGAGTGTTGTTTGGCCGGGCTCCGTGGCTCAGCCTGTAATCCCAGCACTTTGGGAGGTCAAGGTGAGTGGATTGCCTGAGCCCGCGGGTTCAAGACCCGCCTGGGCAACTTGGTGAGACCTCATCTCTACAATAAATCAAAAATTAGCCGGGCGTGGTAGCGCACGCCTGTAGTTCCAGCTACTTGGA